GTGAGTTTGAGATGCATTAGCAGTGAGTTGGATGTCTTTTGGTAAGGTGGAGTATAGATGCCTAGAGGTGCATTGGTGATATGTACGAGGGATGTAGAGTGTGACATTTGGATCACGAGTGGAGATGTGATCAAATGTTTAGAATCCTTTATCTGTGAAAGAGACCCTGTACAGGTGGAGTGTGAAAGAGGCACTTCTATCACTTCTGTAAGGTGGAGTCCCATTATCCACGTAAGTTGGGAGAAGTGATGTGGTGATAGAGGATTATCTCGAGAGTTTAGGATTTATTGTGATTTACCAGTTAGACATGAGTTAAGTGATTGATTTAGTGAGCATGGTGGGCGATGAGAGGAGATATGTGTTCTCGAGGTGGGAGTAACACGGAATGTGATAGGATAAGTGTAGTGAGATCTTTCATGGGGTCATTTATGCATTTGTTGCATATGTGTTTGACCATGTGCTGATTAACTAGGTGTTAATCTGTGGTTCTGTGTGAACGTGATTTTGAAAAGATTTGTGTGTATTATCCTATTTATATCTTCATCGCATGATTATTTGTTCACTGTGAATATTTGTTTCTACTTGAGTATTCTTGACCTTAGCCCTGGTGAGTACATGGAGCAAGTATCGTATGTGTTTCAAGTTGGAAACACGAGGTAAAGTTTGTTGTTCCAATTTTATTAGATTACCTTGATTGTGCAAGTATAAACTGTGTGTTTTGGTTGCTTGCAGATTATTGGGCATCAAGGTGGAGATTGTTGGATTTTTTGATACCCAATAATCCGGGCGATGATTTAAAACAGTTGTCGGATTATTTATTGATACCATGGACTTGGCTCTACTCGGAGATGAACTACACTTTTGGATGGTTCGGGTTTGGGTTGGATGATTATTTGGTTAGTTGGACCATTTAGTGATTAATATGGAGTTGAATATTGGCCCATTAGTTTAGGTTAATTGGTAGCCCGCTTAGTGAACCCTAGGCCCAATTAGAGTGACCTAAACTAACCTATATATATGTATTTATCTCCTAACCGTTTGTGGTGGTGTGTGTTTTGTAGCAATGAAAAGGAGAGTTGAGAGAAGAGAGGCAACCGAGAGAGAGGGAAGCCATGTGAGGTTATGAGTAAGATTCAACAAGTGTTCTTCTTCCTCCCCATACCTTTGTGGATTGCTAACACCACCACCCTTCTCCTTTGTGGGGATAGAGAGAAAAGAGCAGTCCAAAGTGAAGGTGAAAGTCTCGGGTCGAGCCAAGGTAAATCGGTGTTCGTTTGATTGTTTTCTGAGCCCGGAATCAAGATTTATCGAGAGATTTCCGCTACAAGAAAGTTGCTGATAAAGACATCAGATTAAATTAAAAGGTTGAACTGTGTTGATACAAACAGAAACAGTTCATTTTGTAGAAGATTCAAAGTAGAATGGTATATTGAAGTGAAGACAAGTAAATATTCAATTAAACTGCACCTCAAATTGGAGGTACGAAACAGGCGGATAAGGGCCATAGCCATGATTCAAGATTGGAGGCTAGTACAAATTTATTTGAGGTAAATTCCGATTTATTTATTTATTTATTTAGATTCACGTTACATTAACCCCCAACAAAAAAAAAAAAAAAAAAAAAAAAAAAAAAAAAAAAAAAGGGGGGAAAAAAAAAAAAAAAAAAGAAAAGGAACAACGGGTGGAAAAAACATGCAAAACAAATATAGTAAAATATTATTTATTAAGGAAACAACAGGTGGGAAAAACATGCAAAGCAAATATAGTAAAATATTATTTATTATATGTTCAAAATAGAAATTGTATTTAACATTCTGTAAAGTTCTTTATAATATGGATGGCATTGCATGTATGAATGAACAATGCTATGCATCACAATTGGCGTTTAGCACCACCAACTGGCAAAAGAATTAGTCACATTGCCCAACAAATAAAATGCATTTTGTTATTGATAGAGATATTTTATACACTTATGCGAGCCTTAAAAATAATGACATTTCGTGGTTCTTCTGATTAATTATGGTTTAATTTATTGCTTATTTCGTTTGTTAGGTAAATCTTCGATAATTGAAAGCAAAATTGAATGAAATAAGTAAAAAGGGACGAAATTCAAAGTTCGGGAACCTAATTGCAACTTTCCTATAGTTGATTCATACCACAAGATAATGATTGAATATTACAAGGGTTCAATTGGAAGATAAATCATCAAAATTATTTCAAGAAATGACTCATGAAGAATCCAGGGACTAAAGTACAGTTCAGAAAGATGTTACACTGTAGGGTTAACTCACTTATTGGTCACTAAACTTTTGAAAGTTTTCAGGAGGTCACTAAACTTTATAAAATGTATTGCCACTTGTCATTAGTAGTTTAAAAAGACCAAAATGCCCCCAAGGTCCCGAGAAGAATCAATAAATAAGCCTCACCTAAAGGAACAATATATGAAAATTCAAATATCTCCCATCGAAATAGATATTTACCCTCTTGTTCCTTGCTAAGCATCAAACACTTTAAGTTTAGGACGGAAAAAAAAATATAGGTAGGTGAGAAGAGTTTGTTGATTGTGATTTTTGGGGTCAACACCAAGATTCAAGGACATAGGGAGTGGTTAGTAAATTTCTTGTCTGCAAATTGGGTTGAGCTTCATGAGTCCATGACTATGGCAAACGGCTGCCTTTTTAATTATCAGGTCTTTCCTACTATATTCAGCAGTTATTAAAAACCCATTTTTAGCACCTACACATAATAAAAGATGAATTGGTTTTTTGGTTGGTGAGGCCGAGCAAATTGGGTTGCAACGTTGGATTTATTTATTTATTTTTTTTCTCCCGCTGGTATGCGGTGGCAGTTGTTGGTGATTTTGGGTTGGGGTCGGGCAGTGGGTTTGCTTGGGGTGATGAAATGATTTTTTCATATTCTCTAAATGCTTTTGTATTTTTCAGTTGGACCTATCGAATTTGTCATTTTACATTACTTATTTTTTTTTTTTTTTGGTTTTTTTGCCCCCCCCCCCCCCCCCCTTTTTTTATTTTTTTATTTTTTTTAAAGAGGAGATCCAATTTGTCATTTTACACTACTTTAACAATCAAAATAGATGAAAGAGCGATCTTTGCTACTTAATGGAAAGGTACGGGATGGATTCTGCTAATAAGATTGGTTATGTTCTAATTTTCTCTTTTCATTATTGTTTTATTTGTATTTTTAACTTTTATAAGTATGGTTAATTTACAGTTGAATTACTTTTAGATTTTCTTATGCCACTCTCTCTTCCAGCTACTATAATTCTGCTGACTGCCGTAGTGCCTCACGACCCAAAAATTAACTCTACCATCGAATATAACAAAGTTGGTTTATCCATGAATTTCAAACTCATAGCCCATAAGTGCAAGCTCTTCAATTTAGCCTCCATTTGCTAAATTCATAAATCATTTGTAAATTGTTCGAATTTGGTTTTTAATGACACATTTTAATGGATCAACAAATACTAATCAATTGTCCATTATTCATTTTTAAAAATTCTTCCCAAACGGAGGCTTAAACGGCGCTAAGTGATAACAGCTAAAACAAAAGTTAAAAACTTCCACAAACAACAAATGACAATCAAGATAATAAGACATTGCACGCTGAGATGAGACGAGTTTCTCAATAATTGCATTCACCAAAAAGCCTAAAACAGAAAAGTTAAAAATGGAAATCATTAGTATATTAGTGTCACCATCTTCTTAGTTGTATTTTTTTATTTAAAAAGATAATACACACACACACACACCAGGGGCCAGCCAGGCTCTCTTATAGGTCCCCAAAGTGAAGAAAGTCGCACATCATAATCTAATAAGAGACAATATTTTTTCTTTGTCAACCACTACAGATCCTTACTGAAGAAACATAATTCATATTAAGATGACCTTTCACGCATGCTACCATCTTTAAGCTTAAAATGAAAATGATTTTCCTTGGACTTCCAATGAATATGTAGTTACTCGACTAATGTGCTTATTGCAATATTGATTGTGAGGCATGACAAAACATTTGATGCAGTACCTTCATTGTGATGCTTTCCTTTTAGCCATCCGATTCAGTAGGAGTCCTCAATTCGTAAATGCGCTACGAAATGTGAGATATTTCACCGCATCAAGGTTGTATCCGTAGCAGATATCACCTCTTATTCGCCTTTTCATACTTATGATCCTCCAGGGAAATATTGTCAAGATAGGCAGTACGTATAATACCACCAATGCATCTACGATAAATTGACCTCCTGTACCTGGGTATATTCCCCATGCCAATACTGCATAGCTTACCGAAAATAGAGCAAGAGATGGAAAGAGAAGCAGCTGAAGTGGAGCATTTGTAAGTATTGTACACGTTCCCATTGCAAGACTAAAGGTTATCGTGTTCATAATTACACTTGTTTTTGCAATCAGTGGGGTACCTTTGCCGAAGTTGGTGCTTGTTGAATTGGTTGAAGCAGTTTCATTATAAACAGATGTGATGCTGGGAAAAACAGGAGTGGTACCATTGTGAGAAATCCAAAAACGGGGAGTGAGAGCAGCTTGAAAAGCAGCAGTTGCAATAAGCACAACTACTACTAGGAAAGCGTTTCGCATATTTCCTGACAAGCCATAATCCAGGTAAGCACAAATAGGAATAACGATTCTTTCATCGTCATAGTTGACTTCAAAATAATTTTCACAACTGGTGGCATCATCGACAAGTGATGAACCTTTTTTAGCTCCTGCCCTTATTAAATTTTTTCTTGCTTCTACATTTTCAGGATTCAGGATATCCAATGCTGTCTTACCTTCTAAGTTCTTCTCATTCACATGCACATACCGGATTAATGACTTTATAACCTGAAACCATAAACAAGCAGTTATATAAAATTATAACTGAACAAAAATAGTGTTTACTAAACAATACTCGGTTTAAAGAAAAATGAGAACCATTTTATTTTATTGATTTTTATTAATTTCTGGTGTTTTTAACTAAGCCAATTTATAGATGAGCTTTCTGCCTGATGTATCAACTTGGAAGAGTATCAACTATTGATCATCATCACAAATCACAATCCTCTTCAAGTTTTAGTTTGACATCGAGACAATTTTCATGTTTCCAGTCAAACTTGTAGGTGTGAAAGGTGGATTAGGACTTTGATCCTTAACGTAACTTTTACAAATTCTATAACGTTAAAAAAAAAAAAAAAAAAAAAAAAAAATTTTAAAAAAAAAAATAAAAATTTTTGAAAAAATGGAGTTTTTAGTGTATTGAGTATAAATCCGTTATACAAACTCGATCACCTGTTCTGCCTTTTCATAATCCTTTAATTATGTTTTATTTTATTTAGTAGGCTAGGGTTTCAAGCCATCCCTTGATTGTTATTCTTTTATTCCGTCAGTTGTTTGCTGAATATCTGAGTAATAATAAATATTTATCTAAGACAGTATATTCCACATAGTTATTTTGACAGGAAAAATAAATAAAAATTCAGAATTCGTGAAACTGGAAAATAAAAACATACTTTATAGTGGCAAAAGTTTAATATGTGTATAAAACCAAAGGACCTTGTAAGTAATGTTGAACCAAGGAATACACCTCGCAACATTTACTCATCAGCGAGGTTGAAAGCAACTTGTGAAGGGAACGAGAATGCAAAAGGCTCACCTAAGAGTCACGAACTATTTTTGATAAGCAGACTGGACACAGACTGTCAATAAGAAGTATATGGGCAAATGAATAAAGCGTGACTACTAATCGAACTAGTTACAAAATGACCAATAAGGAATAGCCATCTAGCACAACTTGAAAATGACCAAACTATCTGAAAGCTTGGAGGAAAATTTATAAATACCCTCACATTTGAAGAAAGAGGCATGCAAGTCAAATATCTTACTCTCAAATAGTTATTTCTTCAATTGTTTTAGTTGAAACATCAAAACTAGTAAATTTAGGAGGCGAAAGCCACAATTACGTGAGAATATTTTTTAAATGTATTTACATTGATATTCGATTGTAGTTGTTTTTTCAATAAACTCGTTTAATTCAATTTATACTGTTAGCAAGTACAAATTTTATTCATAAGGTCAAAATTAACAGTTTAATGAAGGGTAATTGGATAAAATTCTCAAATCCGTGGTCAGAATTCTTTCAAAATTAGAATTATATGAAGTTTACCGAATACCTAAATAATTTTGATTGTTTGACAATCAAAATTTGGGGCTCTAAACGTGATCTCATGCTAAGCTTAAATTGTTGTAATCATCCATTTGTACTCTAAACCAGGAAATCGGGTGAAGATCTAGTATAAGAGACTCCATCAAAGTAGATCTCAACTCGGATGTGGGACTTTTAATTTTTATATGGTACATACTTTTTAAAACTCATTTATCTACAAATGAATTTTCTATCAAACATTCTCAAAATAAAATAACGTTGCACGGAAATTCATAACTTTTCATACTTTTAATCACAATTTCTACAAAAATGTTATTTTTCATAAAATATATCCTCAAAAAATCTTACGTCAAACGGGCCAAAGTATGGAACTAGATAAAAACTTTGTATTCTTTGCTTGGTACTTTCTTGGGATTTCTAGGTTCAATAATGTCAATGGTTCGGACAAACCTCACATGAGCCCTGTTGTGCTTCCTGGCACCGCGTTGGGTTCAGCTTCAAGTTTATTAAGGAATCATTTACTGATGAAAGTTGATTGGAGGAGATTTTATGGAAATCATTCTCAATTAAATAAATGAAGATCTAGTCATAGAAACATACCTGCAATTGGTTTGTTAATGCTGCAAGATGCATCATGGTATTGCCTTCCTCGTTTCTCCAGGGAAACACTGCCGTATTATTGGTCTTTCTAGCCCAACCAAGTAAAACCTTAAAGGCTCTCAGATTTTTGTTTCTTACAGCAATATGAACAACAGTCTCATCTCGAACGGTCATGTCATTTATTGAGGATGGACAAATGAGAAGAAAATAAATCAAAAGATCGATGTCCTCGTTTTCCACTGCGTAATGCAAAAGTGTGATCCCTTCCCTCCCTGGGACACGAATGAGGTCCGGATTATGCTTGACGAGTCGTCTCACAGTGTTGGTGTGTCCATTACTCAAAGCCAAGTGCAGTGGACTAAGACCATCAAGGTTTAATTTCTTCCCCAACAAAGGCTTTAGCCTCAAGATTTCAAGAGCAAGGCCGGTACGGCCTTCTGAAGCAGCAGTATGAAGAGGTGACTCCACAAATGGCATCTCATTGGGGACTTCCAAGTAGTGCGGATTATTGTGTATTTCCCTATACAAAGTAACGATATCTGAATCTTGAACAGTGCTCATTCTGCAAAAGGGAGATAATTTACAATTGAAAAGTGCTGTGAGTATTCAAGGTGCGTTGCAATATGGCTGCCTTAAATAAAGAACACAGTAAAGAACTTTTAATTTTGACTTTTGAGTTGATGAGTGTTTACAATTTCACAATTTTCAATGAAATGTCCATTGCCAGGATGTCCAAAGATCCTTCAACTGAGAGTGAAAAAGTAATTTAGAGTGAAAAAGTAATTTAGGTTGAAGAGGTTGTCAAAGCAGTTTCCGTGTCGCTAAGAAAATGCAAACTTTGCATGAGTCGCGTTCAAGTAATAAAGTAAACTTTTGAAATTCAAGTTGTCGATCCCTCGAGTAATATTTATTTTTTTATTACATAAATTTAATTAATTTAATTCTAACAATTGAAAGAAATGCACACAATTATCATTATGATTTGAAAATAAGGAAAAATAAACTAAAACTCTACAAACTAAGAAAACATAAACATTTGGGAATTTCGGAGGAAACCATGGCTGGGATTCATAATTTTGCTTAAACATTGTCTAATAATTTCTCCATAATCTGATTAACAAATTTTTCAATTACAATGTTAGACCCGATTTTTCAAGTTTAACCTACTATATCTTTATGTCGATTAAAATCAAACAATCATATTAAATTTTTGTGAAAATAGCTCAATTGCTTATCTAGAGTTAGGGATATATCTCTTTCCCTTACAAGATCTTAGGGTTTCTACTATTTGATCTAAAATGTACAATCTTCTCTCGAAGCATGTACAAATCACTAAATACAATCATATATTGGCCCTATAAATGAAAATACAGTAGTAACAATCATAAAAACACATGAACATAAATAATTTTTAATATTAAATAGCAAACATTGAAATTAATTAAAGTTAGATTGAGCTTAAACCATAAATCCTAACATAAATAATTAGTCTATTTTATACAAATGATAAAAAGGAGAATATTTATAATAATACATTACAAGTTTGGCAAAATAATTGAGAAAATATAAGATTATAGATGAAACCCTTTTATGGTTGATTTCTTGAAGATAATAGTTGCTTGCTCTTGATTTTTCCAAAGCTTTTCTAAATTCTTTAATGCTCCTCTTTGCGCTATGGATTTTGCTCTCAAAATACAAAGAAAAATCAAAAGAAAAAGGAACGGAAAAATTGAAAGGAAAAGAAAAAGAAAAAGGACACCTCTCTTAAGAAAGGACATTTCTCTTTCCTTTATGTTTCTTTTTCGACACTTCTCTTAAGAAAGGACATTTCTCTTTTCCTTCCCTTTTCTTTTTCTTTTTCTCTTTCCTTTCCTTTTTCTTTTGATTTTTCTTTGTATTTTGAGAGCAAATCAAGAGCACAAGGAGGAGCATTAAAGAATTTGGAAAAGCTTTGAAAAAAATCAAGAGCAAACCACTATTATCTTCAAGAAATCAACCAAACAAATGTTTCATCTATAATTTTGTATTTTCTCCATTATTGTGCTAAACTTGTAATGTATTGCTATAAGTATTCCCTTTTTTTATCATTATAGAAAATGGGCTAATTATTTATGTTGAGATCTATGGTTCCAGTTTAATCTAGTTTTCATTAATTTTAATGTTTGCTATTTAATATTAAAATACTTATGTTCATGTATTTTTATTATTGTTATTATTGTATTTTTGTTTATATGGCCCATAGATGATTGTATCAGTGATTTGTACATTGCTGTTGAAAAGTGCACGTTGCACAATCGAAGACCTTTTTTTGTTGATTTGCATGTTGGGTGATCAGAATATACTATAATTTAGTTTGCAAATTATCTTTTCTAGTGAATCTTTTTGGCAAGGTTAGCCATAAATTTTTTTACCCCTGTGAAAGGTTCTTCAAGAAATTTTCCTTCGTTACCATATTTGGTATTAATTTTATTTTTATGCTTTGATCTATATCGCACGATTGACAATTAGGATTTAAGTGGATTATACTAATTATCTAGAGAAAATAATCATGACTTTGTTGCTTATTATTGTTTGTTATTTTTAATTCTGCGTTATACACTTATTCTCCTCCTCAAGGTGTTGTTGGGTCTAAACATCGGGCTGGGCAAATCTTCCAAACAGAACCGAACCGAACCCAACAGTTCTTGTCAAATTAAATACCCGAATGAGTATCTGAATTGAGAATCGACGGGTACGGTTTGGTTCTCGATTCTAGACGAAGAACCGAATAAGAACTTAATCTTTCTAATTTTTTTTATATTGAATAAATCAAATTGTTTTAATTTTAATTTTTTCTAAACAAATTAACAATTTCTAAATCCAAAATTTTGGCCCAACAATTTGTTTCATTTCTAATTTGTTGCCCAATTACCCATTTTATTGTTTCATTTCTTAGCCCAACAAAATCCAACCAACTAAATAATCCTAAACACTTACACTAAAGTGCATAACGTTGTCTTGACTCTCACACTCACTCTCGTAGCCTCACTGACATTCCAAAACTTATACAATCGCCGATCGAAGCTGTGACCTCCGTCAACCGAAACTATGATTGCAACGATCATTTGAACAAGGTAGTCTACTAGTCTCTGACATTTCAAAACCATGGCAATTATTTAGATAGTTGTAGTTTTAGTATTAGTATCTACTTTTTGATATTTGTAAATTGTACGCATTCTAAATTAATCTTGTTGGACAACTTGTTATTTACATGTTATTAAATTTGACTATGTTAATTTATAAAATTACAATTAAATGTGTCATTAGTTGTATTTATATAGAGTTGTTATAAATATTAAAAATTTTAATTATAGTACGGAATCGAACCGAACCGAATTGAACCAAACGGAATCGTTCCATTTGCTAGATACCCGAAAATTTTGGTTCGATTCGGTTCTCTTTAGGACCGAACCGAGCCGACCCGCGCCCACCTCTAGATACAAGCATTGTAATGAAATATGGAGAAATTTTATCTTGCGGACGATCTTTGTGGGTTTCACCAAGAGAAATAAAAATGCTATAAGGAAATAGCTACGCACATAAAAATACACAAGATTTATAGAGATTCGTCATTGCAATAATTCACTACGATAAAAGAAATCGAAATTATAAATTTGAAATTCCTAAACTAGTGAAAAATCTAATGATTTGTGTAATGACTCCGCACAACAACAATAATTAGACTCCATAACTTGAAAAATTATTTGGAGGCATCCCATCTTCTTGCATCCCAAAAACATCATAATTCTTCTGTTAAGCATTCCATTGTATACACAGCCTGAAATTACAGAAGTCCAGGAAACCACATCTCTGTTGCAAAGTCTATCCAACAGCCTAATTGCAGCCCCAATCATCCCGGATTCAGCATATGCATCTAATAACGAATTCTGCAATTAATCATCCTCGATAAGCCCATATTTTATCGTGTAACCATTAACCAGACAAGCCTGTAAAAACACTGCCAATGCGAATTCTTTAGGCTACAGAGTTCCCAACATCTATGAAAAAACAATATCGATAGACTCATCTACCCATTTGTTCCGGCAATAACCCGAGATCACACAAGTTCACTAACACAACAGTTTTGGGAGGCATATGCTCAATTTGTACTAGCATCTTTTATCTGGCAACATTTTACATACATGTTTAAAAGAGAGTTGCTGATAATCTTCAGCATCAAGCCCTAACTAGAATATTTTGGCAGGGACACAAGAACCCATAATTTGGTTTCTGTTCTCAAGTTGTACACAGCAAAAGAATACATTTAGGAAGTGTGACATTCACTGGGAAAGAAAGACAGCAAAATGAAGTGGTTACTTCATTTCTCATCAATCTCTGAAGAAGGTTTGTGAATATTGAAACAAAAGCTCGAGCTGAGAGGACGCAAACAGAAGGAGTGCATTTTGTGGAGAATTGGAAGTAGGTTTTCTGCTTAGTATTCACTCGAGGGGCAGCTCAGATCATAATGAATACTAATTAGTTGACCTTGGCACCTAACAGATGTCCACTCAGATTATTAATTAGTTTTTTCTAGCCAATTATACGTTAATATTTTTAGCGAGTGGTGATTTTATACTTCAACATCCAATAGAATAAGAAAATTATTCAATGACCTTTTTGAACTTTATCCCAAACTTCAGTGACATTCTTGAAATTAAACATAAAAATAAAATAAAAAAATCTCTCCCTTTGGTTTTTTATTTTTTATTTTTTTTTGGCAATATAAAGTAATGAGTATTATTAGCTTGTACGTAAGATGCAATTCACTTAAGGACCTTATTCATCTATATATTTTTTAAAATCAAAATGCAACCTCAAGAACGAAAACTATATTAGGAAAGGAAATAACAAATTAGGGAGAGGGACAAGATCTCATCTCCCATAACAATGCATAACAAACGAATCATCCACATCGATATTGAATTTTCCATGATGCAATCAAGATACTTAGATTTAATAATGTAATTTAACCATAAGCTTTAACTGAAATCTATTTTCCATGGCCTAGCTCCCTATGAATAACTAATACACCCTTGCAGATTATTATTAATGTGACTTGTGAAGTTGTGAAACGTGAGACTAGAATTGATGCAGTTCCTTCATCTTTATAGAAGTTCGATCTATTGCAGTTTCCTTGTTGCATATTTACTGGTAAATACACGATATTTCATCTCATCAAGGCTGTAGCCAGAGGATGCGTTTGTAATTAACCATTGGTCTTGTATAATATTCCAAGGAAGTATCATTATTACTGGCAGTCCGGTTGACGCTGCCAGCAGAATGATGATAACTACGGCACAGAGTGCCGATTGTCCGTCCATAATTGAAGCTCCATAGCTGAAGGAAAAGATGCCAAGAGGAAAGTAGAGAAACGAAAAGAGTTGATTAAATTTAAATGTAAGTAGAGCACATGTTCCAATGGTCACACCGAAGGCCAATGTGTTCAATACTACAGTATATGGATCTTCATCAAACTTAGGTATGGTGTGGATCACTCTTATGTCCTCTTTAGAATGCCTCATTATAATATGTTAATTTAATTTGTCT